ATTGTATTAATTAAGCAGTTGTCTACAGCCTACTAGGATATACTACATAGATTAAAGAACTGCTGAGTTTTAGTGCTTTTTCAGTTAGTTCAATTCTAATACAGACACACACAGAAAACCAGGCAACTATATGGATACCTCTCATTTCAAACATAAAACATAAGGCTCAGTTTATTTCTCAACTAGAGATCTATTTTACCTGCAGGCAGGACAGCCACCAACTACTACTACAGAAGTGGTGGTAGCAGGCTGTTGAATAATGGTGTATGTGCTTGAATAGTTTGGCTGTGATGGCGGTGGAGGAACAGCATATCCTAAAAAAAAGGAAAAAACAACTGAATCACCATGTGTAAGGCACAGAAATCACTAATAGTTCAGTGAAAAGCACAGAGGAATTTAAAAAAAAAAATAGAAGTGTCTTGGTGAAACACTTTAAGAAGCTTTCAAAATCAGAATCAAAGCATACCTGTCAGCACATCTAATAGCAAAACCACTTCAGAACTCCAAGTATCTAGCACAATTTAACTATCTAAAAAGGATTTTGAGCTAATAATTAACTTTGAGAGTTTGTTTCAAAGCTGTTTGAACATTGAACAAAAACAGTTTAAACAAATGAGGATTGTGGAGTTCACTTCTGGACATTATGCATCAGGCATGCCCCACTCTGGCAGACAAATGAGTTGAAACTGAGTATGTCTTCCTCTCCTCTGGTGTCCAACTCAACTTCCACACATTACATTTTTGGCTACAGAGAGAGGCAGGAGTGATAGGACACAAGTGGAAAGGAAGCAGGCTGCATGGCAAAGAAAATAAAACCTTTCACAAAATCCAGCTTGTTGGCTAGCAAATGGGTTATTTGAAGAACTGTACTTAAGAAGCACAGACCCCTGGCTACCACATTAATGTGAAAAATAAATAGATAAATGCTTTTAAAGGGATGGTTAGATGTACGCAGTGCACTCCTACAGCTAAGACACACTTTGCCCAAGTATGATCCATCCTAAGCTTTTCTCCTAGAGCACAGTTCCGATTTTTCTTCAGTCACATTACACACCAGAAAGCCCATGAACTTCACTGTTTAAATCAAAAGGCCAACTGTCAGTAATATCCGTATCATAACACAGTGTCCCAAGTCACTGGCAGATTTACCTGCTGCCTCACAGTTCTGCCCAACGCACCTACTCACTTGGCAGACTTTTTGCCCTTTCAGCAGCGCTCCCTTACAACCCCGGAGCTCCTCCTGAGCGGCTCCTTTCTGTGGCTGCGCTCAGGACTGCCTCACTCACCGCTCACCTGCTCCAGCCTCTCCGGGCTCCCCGGTCCACGTTTGTTTTGGTCTGGTGAACCTCGGGAGTCCCGGAGAGGCACACAGGGAGCCCGGGGATCACAAGTTTCCTCCTGGGGCCACTTCCCTGCTGTCGTTATCCCCCCCTCCCCTAGGAGCCACCCGCCCGTGGGGCGGCGCCTCCGTACCGGAGCCCGGCACACCTGGGGCCCCTCGGAGAGGGAAAAGGAGGAAGAAGAGGAGGAGGAGAGGAAGAGGAGGAGAGGAAGGAGGCAGGCAGCAGCGCCTCCCCGGAGCCCCCTCAGCGCCTCCCGCCGGGCACCACAGGCCACGGCCCTGCCCCGGGACCCGCCTGAGGCGCGGGGACAGCGCCCGGCCTGAGGGGCTCGGGGAGGGGGCGCGGGGGGTGTGCGAGGCGCCTGAGGGGGGCACGGAGGTGTGTGAGGGGGGTTGGGGTGTGAAGGGGCTGTAGGGTGCGTGAGGGGGGTGCTGCCCCCACAGCCTCCCCTCAGAGGCCGCCAGCCCCCTCCCCGTCCCCCTTCCCCCTTCCCGTCCCCCCCCGCCTCAGACCCACCTGCGGCGGCCGCGGCGCCCGGGTACGGGTAGGGCGGGGGCGGCTGGAAGCCGGGCTGCGGGGTGGGGATGGCGCCGTAGTTGCTCTGCCCGTAGTCGTAGCCCGCACCCTGCGCGGCGGGGCTGTAGGCGGGCGGCCGCTCCTGCAGCAGGGGCTTGTTGTCCATGCTGGGGGGGGACAGGGGACGGGAGGATGAGGAGGCGGAGGCGCTGCCCGCCCGAGGAGGAAGCGGCGCCCTCCCCTCAGCGCCCCGGGCTGCCGGGCGCCGCCCTCCGCCCCGCCCCGCCCCGCCCGCCCGGGGGCGCCGCGGCTGCGGGGAGGGGGTGAGGGGGGGACCCGCGCCTGAGGGGAGGGGAAGGGAAGGGAGGGGGGGAGAGCGGGGAAGGGGGGGGGGGGCGGCCCCGGCTGCTGCGCTCGCGGCCGGTCACGAGACGGCGCCCCACGTGACGCCGCGGCCCGGCGGGGCGGGAGCCTCGCTGAGGGGAGCGGGAGCAGGGCGGGGGGGAGCGGGGGGGGCTGCCTTAAAGGGGCCGCGTGGGGCGCTGAGGGAGGGCGGGGGGAGGGTGAGGGCGAGGGGTGCGGCGCTGCCCCCAGCGGGAACTGCCCGCGGCTTCACCAGCCGGCAGCCCGGCGTCCAGAACCCAAGTTACGAATACTTTGTTCAGGCACATGCTGAGAGGCTCTTCCCTGGCTTCTGTTGTCCTCCCAGCCCTGCCTTCTGCTCCACACCCCTGTCCTGTGAGCACCTGAGCGCGTCCTGTGGTGTCGAGGTCCCGCAGGCACTGGCAGGCCTCGAAATGAGGCACCTGGAACAGGAGCCCCAGGGCCCAGGCAGCCTTGTATGAGGGTGCCCATAGCCAGCCCTGCCCTGTTTCCCCCTCCAGCCCTGCCCCCTGTCACCACTGGGGCTCTACGGGACTGGAGGTTTCCACAAGAAATCCTCTAAAACCCAGCGCAACACCGCTTCCTCGTCTGGGGAAAGGCACTTCCCTATAACAAACACTGAGTAGTGAGGAGAAATCCCCCTTTTGAAGAAGTGAGACTTGGGAAAGTGGGGAAGAACCAGCAGGCGGAAGGGAAATCACAAGGGCCACCTCTGGCCTGTCAGGGCCACAGCCAGAGGACATTGGAATGTGGTGTAAAATGCCTTGGATAGAGCAAAGCCTTTCTTCAGGACAAGAGGTCTACAGACTCACAAAGTCACTATCTGAGCTCCAGCTTTGCCGTGTCCCAGCTGTGCAGGGAGGTCCCTCTGGACTGCACCTTCTGTGCAGCAGAGGCTTTGCTGTGGTACGCTGCAGCCTGCGTTTGGGAGTGCTACAATTACAGGCAAATCTGAGACGCTGCAGCAGACTAGGGCTAGCAGCCATAGCAAGTGAGCTGTGGTTCACTGAAGCTGTTTCCTCCTGTGCTAGACTGTGACCAGAAATTGGACAGGGTATTTGGACGCTTTCTCCCTCTTTTGCAAGGCCTCAGAGCCCCATCCACAGGCAACATGGCACAGGGCTCATGTTCACGCCATGCCCCAGGTCACACACCAAATCCACTGCCCCAGCAGGCAGCAAAATAAAAATCTCGCCCAGAATCTGTTTACATTTACCTGTTGTTTGGTTTTGCAAAACTTTTCTTGTTACTCCTTTGCAAATAGCAGTCACTGTTGTAACAGCATCAACTGCAGAAAGCAGGGCTCAGCATCAGACACACAGAAAGAACTTCCACAAGGGAAGCATCCTGCCTAACTTACATCTAACCACAGGTGTAGCATAGCCACAGTCCTTGTTAGCTGGCCACAAAGAAGTTGTGTGCTGCCAGTGTCATGGATGACGCACATTGGGCCTCACATGAAAGTTCCTCCTTAAAATCAGTTTGAGAGAACTCCACAGGTTGTAAATGGCCTGTTGTGTGAGCTCCCTGCATGGTCATTCCTGCTGCCACCATGTAGGACTACAGGACTGCAGGTCAGAATCCAAACTGAGCGAAAATCACAGAAACTATGCCTTAAGCTCTTCTATAATCCAATGCCAATGGAAAACAAAAGTCTCAATTCCATCTGCTTAAAAAGGCAGCAGGATTGAGTAAATGTCAAACGTATCAGAGACACGACTGACAACAGACCTTGCAAAATGAAATTCTTATGACCTAAGCAAAAATGTTTTACTGATCAGATCAAAACATTACTAGGGAGCAGCATTCCTGCATTGAGGTTGGGCACCAATCTGCAAAAGGGACCAAACCAGAGCCATGTGAAGCAAGCCTCCATGGCCCCGCAGGAAATGTCCCGGGCGGGCTGGTTTTGCCTCACACGGGCATCCTGCTAGAGAATTTGACATGCACCTCGCACCTGGCTCCCTCTGAAAGGCAGATGTGTTCCCTCAGCCAGCAGCTAACCCCTTGGGTGGGCTCACAGCAGATCTGCCGGTTCCCTGTGAGAAAGGCCTGAAGCAGATGCCTGCCTTTTCATCCTCCTTCGCTGCTATCTTTGGGCGAAGCCAGGAAATGATCTCTGCGTGCAGCCTTCCTGCCTGGCAGCTCCGACAGCCGATGGAAGCTGTCGTCTGTCGCCCTGCATTTTCCGGCTCGCTGTAGGCGAGCGGGCGGGATGGCAGCGGCGGGGCCGGGCACGCAGGCGCCTGGGCAGGGAGGCGGCAGCGCCGCGGCGGGCGGGCAGCGCTGAGCAGGGAGGGCCGCTGCCACCTGCCCCCGGGCCGCCGTTCCCGGTAAGCGCCGCCTGGACCGGCCCGGAGGGCCCCCGCGGGGCCGCGTAATGGCGGCGGGGCGCGGGCAGAGGGAGCGCGGTGTCACCGCCCCGCGGGGCAGGGCCGGACGGGGCCGGGCGGCTCCTGCAGGCGGCGGGGAGCGGGGAGCGGGGCAGGCCGGCGGGAGGCAGGTGAGGGGCTCGCCCCGGACCGGGCGGGGAGCGGCGGGCGCCGGCCCCGAGGCCGCGGGGGGAAGCGTGGAGAAGCCGCAGCGGTGCCCCGGGGAGCCGTGCGGGTCCCCGGCAGCCCGTGTCCCTCCGGCGGGTTGCCGTCGCCTCAGGGTGCCGGTGGGTGCTTCGCCGGGGGGCGCAGCCCTGCTGTCAGCCGCCGCCGAGCCCACCCCTGAAGCGCTGTCCCTCGAGGAGCTCTCCCGGCTTGGTAACGGGGCTTTTCTTCTCGAGCTCGCTGGCAGTGGGTGTTAGGGCAGGCAGTGGGGAATTTCATCCCGCAGCACGCCCTGTCCATCGGAGTAGCGTGCCTTCTGCGCTGGGATAGCTCCGCTTGTACCAGAAGCGGCCTGGAGATGTTGAGGGGTGAGGGGAACGCAGCGCTGGGGTCTGGCCCTGCTGCGCCCCGAGCCTGCCGGGCAAGGTGTGCGGGCAGCGGCATGAGGCAGCGGCACGGAGCGGCCTCGAGAGCCCAGCAGCGTTTGCTGTAATCTTCTGCAGCGCTGCCAGCACAAAGGGGCCTAAATGCAGTTCTTAAAGGTAGTCAATAACCCCAAATGCATTCTCACATCCTGTTATTCTCTAAACGGTCTGATAAGATCAAAGGAAAGAATATCCGGAAACTCGCTTATTTCAGCTGCCTTGAATATTTTAATTCGGTTGCATCTTCTCAGATTAGTTTAATTCCATCCCATCCATATCCATTTATATTCTTCCTAACTTCATCATTTTAGAGATATCTGAAAATTCCACTGCCTATTTCTGAACTGTTCCAGGCACTTGTCTGTCTGCCTGGACTGTCTTTCCAGACCCAGGCCTGGGTATACTTCAGGTATACCTCAGGTATACTTCATTTGTATACCTGCCCATCTTTAATACAGGCAGGCATCACTTTATTATCTGACTGTGGATCTCTTCATTGCATTATCCATAATGCTTCCTTTACTCCAGACTTGCTGGCATTCTGGTTGCTCAGCATTAAAAGCATATTTTTCTCCATTACAGACTGTTCTGCAGAATTTTCAATGCTTACACCGACAGGCTTATTTTCGTGGGCTTTGTTTTCCCAGTGATACATAATTCTTGCCTCATCCTCGCTTTTTTCCATTGCGTATTTCCACATTTTGCCTTTCCGTACTAACCTCTTTTTACCAATATAAAATGCAGATAAAGAAGGTAAATGGCTGATCCAAGAGTGAAGCCAGTTATACATGCCCTATTTCTCACCTCTATTTCCTAACACAAAATTATCTTTGTTTTCCTGTGAGAGCTGAAATGAAGATTCCCAGGAAGATTGTCCTGCAAGGCTAACTTCTCAAGGTTTGTACTGCTGAGCTGGGATAAAGCACGGAGTGTTGATACTCCCAGCAACAACAACAACAAAACCAAGAAGCCCAAACCAGAGGATTCGTCGTAGTTATGCTGCCACAACTAGCAGGAGAATTTTTCTCTGTGACCTCCCCTGGCTTTCACTCATTCTCAACTACTGCAAATTTTCTTCCCACTGTTACCATTTTTTTCCTTGATGGACCCAGTTTTGTAGGTACTTAGCAGCAACAGCACTAGGAATAAAAGAATTCCAGCACAGCAGAAGATGGGACTTTGTGTTCCTCCTGCCTTCAGAAGCATCCTCCCAGGGATTACCTGTGCATTTACCATGCAGGTCATGATACTGGCTTAGCTGTTTTCAGATGTGCATTGATTCTTTCTGGCATTCAAGCACAAGGTACAAATGAGTCCCCCCACATCTCTGCTAATTACCTGTCAGAAAGCAGGCAGGCGAGCCTCCTCAGGCTCATCTGTTGAAAGCAAAGTTGCTGCTTGACCATGGAGAAGTGACGTTCCACGGTGACTAAGCCAGGTTTCACTGGTTTGGCTGTGACTTCTCCATTTTACCTTTACCTTCCTGGTCCCACACTACATATTTATAGAACTGGAGGCAAAGTTCAAAATACTCATCACTAGTTTTATCGCACATACAGAGCAACTGAAACTTGTTGGTTTTAATGGCATCCAGAGAGCAACTGGCAGAAATAAGCTATCTTTTCTTGATTTCTGAAAGGACTGGCCTACACCTACCTCAAAGAAAATGCTGACCCCTCTATTTAGAGGAGAGCTTCAGTGCCCAGAAAATAGCAGCTACTTAAGTGATAAAACTGGAATGGAACTCAAACAATTCTCTGCTGTCAAACAGTGCTCTGTGTATACTTAAATAAATATCGCACCTATGTATATTAAATAAATATTAGATCCCAGAGTGGTCACCAGCATGCTTTGGAAAGAGGTTTCCTGATAGCAGTAGCGCCTGAAATATCTATCTGTAGGCATGAGATGTCCATGGACTAAAACTATATGCATGTTTATGGAGAATTCTCAGTTTGCATTCTTTCCCTTGCACTTGTGTTGGTAGATGGCAAGTGCACTGCGTTGGTAGATGGCAAGATGAGGCTGAGGAGGAGGTTCCATGAGACACCGTGGTTTTGTGCAGCTGAGATGAGCAGAGTGTGTATGGCATGACCAGCTCTGGAGAGCGAAGCCTTCTGCTATGAAACACTCCGTGCTGCTTCATCAGTGTGTCTCAGTTTGCTGTTGGCTTCTGTCCTCAGCCTGCCAAAACTGTTCTATTAACATTGCGAGGTCCTGTAGGATGGACAAGAGCGGCACTAGCAAGGTCTTTCACAAGACTTTTCAGACTGTTGTAAGGTGTATAAATGTGTGGCTCTGACTCAAAGAGATTTGGCTGTCAGCTTCACATGGGCTGTTTATAAAAGACCGTTCTTTAATTTTCTCTTTAGTTTGAATGGTGCTGGCTCCGAGCAGAACTGTAGGTTTGAGATCCATTTTTTATAACTGTCATTTCCATTAATACCTCCTTTTTGCCTTTCAGACATGGCCATGTCCAGTTCCCTTCTGTGGGCTGTTGACATTTTTGGGAGGGTTTACACTCTGTCCACCGTTGGCCAGCACTGGGAGCTCTGTAAGGATACACAGCTGGAATTCAAACGGGTCTCTGCTGTCAAGCAGTGCTGCTGGGGAATAGCCTGCGATCATCAAGTATACACCTACGTGTTCTCGGGTGATGTTCCTATTAGATACCAGGAAGAGACCTATGAAAATCAGGTATGGAACACTACACATGCCTCTGCTGTATGTTCTTCAGAAAGCAAATCCTTAGATTAGCTGTCTCTGTAGTTTTTTTTCACAGATTGATTGTTTGGTTTTATTTTTCATTTTTTACCTCATGTTTCTGAAGAGTATATATGCATTGAATAGGTTATTATTTTAATATTTTAATTCCCAAAGGAAGGCTATACTTTCTGGCTCTTGCTAAAGGAACAGCGTGCACTGCAGCATCCTTCATGCAAGCTGTTTCACCCATTCCACCTGATGTGCTCCTTTCCTTGGTGAAAAACAGTTTCCTTAAGAAATTGTCCAATGTAACAGGCAACAAAAACACACTATTCTTACAAAATACTTTTTTTTGTAATGTTTCAAAGAATTCTTAAGAATTAATTCTTTGAAATACTATTTTTAAATGTATCAAGGAATTCTCTAGTAAAAGCATTAACTCTCCATTAAAGTACATTTCCAGATTTTCTTTTTTGTATAGAAGTGTTATTAAGATGATCTTTTCTATGTAAGATACATCAAAAGAATGTTTTTAACAATGTTTTTAAGTAAATTTATCTATTTTGTTTTTAACTTCACCAAAAGTTATTTGAGAGATAAAACAGAATAATTCTCTTCAACATATTTCCCTGCTTTCTAAGGGGTAACAGGATAAATCTAAGTTGAGAAAATACATTAACTATCTACATGGGTGAAGATAGAACAAACTAATTTAATACATTATTTAACATTGATACAAGTTTCTGTCCATTTAAGAATGTTCATTTTACTAAGTAAATATGCATGTACTTTAAAAAATGCAAAACTTGAAAATCGATTTGGTTTGTTATTTTAAAACTTTTGTTTTGTTTGTTCTAGCCTATGAAAAAATGGAAAACAAAACACTAGGAACTACAAAAGGAAATACTGTGCAAGAGAACAGAATTAAACTCAAGTAGTTTACAGACAATGTGCAAAGCAGTTTAGTAAAATTCTTAGTAAGAAAAAGTAATATTTTGCATAACAGCAATGTAATTAAACAACTAATTTCTCATATGCCCTAAAATGCAGGACAGTATTACCTAACCAGTCTTGCCAGTGTTTCTATAGCAGGTAAAACTGAGGCGGAAAAAAAGAAAAACCACAACTGCATTGGTGAAGAGCCTAGCAAGTTACTTGTCCTATAACTGATTTAGGAAAAAAAAAATCAGTAAGATATGATACAGGAAGATTCATTGATGTAGTTGTCTTTACATAGTTTCTGGTGTTGAAACTATGGTGTTTTCCTAGTGTAGGCCATGTGTTAGTCACCTGTCTCACGTGAGATACCTTAGAAATCCCAAAGCTATCTACACAGGAGTTATCCTAATGCTTCAATATCATGGTGCCATACATCACCAAAGAAAAATGCACTGTAAGTAGTAAACTATATCATCCATCATTCCTATTTATGTAGTTGAAATTTGCTTGGTTGGGACTAGCTCTGCAGTCAGTCCTTCTGTGATACTTTAAAACAGCTTCTACCAAAGACCATATTAGCTGGGGACCTACAGCATGACCACTTGCTCATTCACCCCAAGAATTATTCCTCTTCTACTGCAGAAAAAAATAAAAAGGTATAATTTATGACTCACTAGGGCTCTGTAGATGTCCAATGAGGTGATGTGATCTCAAATACAACATTTTTATTATTATTTCTGGCAGCGCTGGAATCCAGTTGGTGGCTTTTGTGAGAAATTATTGCCCAGTGACCGCTGGCAGTGGAGTGATGTGAGCGGGCTAAAACATCAGCAGCTTGATAGTTTCACACTGCCTTCACCACACTGGGAGTGGGAGTCTGACTGGTATGTGGATGAAAATATTGGAGGGGAACCAACAGAGAAAGGGGTAGGTGAACAATACCAAAAAGAGATCTATTCTGGGAATCCTTAGTCTGTAAAATAAAAGGCACTTTTATAAAATGGCAAAAGGTCTGTAAAAATAAAAGGTACCTCTTAACTTCCCATAGCTCCTTCTTTCTGGGAAATAGCTCAGCTATAACACAACACAAGCAAGGATCTTGTCTGAAGGCTTTTGAAGTCCATAGGAGTTGTTTTTTCTCTTTGGATTAGGCCAAGAAATGCTGCCAACTTCGTATTGCTGCTATTTAAAAACGTACTATGAAGAAAGCAAAGCGCTTTACTGTATCTTGTTTGTTCTGTATATGTCATGCAGAGGAATTAGGACATGATTCATAAATCATTCACAGAATTAGCTCGTCTGTTAATCAGGCTGTTAAGACATGCACAGTAGCCTGTACTGTTAGGAATGACTCGTGTGCAGAATCATTCTGAGTTAAGACTTCAAGCTTTTCCTTGGTCCAGTTTTTCACAATAGAAAACCTCTGTTTGCAGGGCTGGACTTATGCCATAGACTTCCCCAGCACCTACACAAAGGATAAGAAATGGAATTCTTGTGTGAGACGCAGGAGATGGATCAGATACAGGAGATACAAATCACGGGATATTTGGGCAAAGGTTCTGGATATCTTTTTAATATTAATTAAACTATTGTTTTTTTGTTTTGTTTTGTTTTTTAAATAAAAATAAATTCCCTTGCACTTATAGTTGATTATTGCTGCTCTGGAGGTTAGACTTCTATTCCTTGACTTCCAACCTTGTAATTCTTGCAAGCCTAAATGGAAAGCTGGGATTTTTCTAAGAAAACTTGTGGTAATAAGGTACCAAATCTCATGTTAATGCAGTTGGTTGGAGATAGATAGATGTTCAAATCCTCTGCAAATTTCTTGCTAACTTTTGAAGTTCCTTTGGTTATTGACAAATCTCTTTTGAGATGGCACCTGCTTAACATCATTTAACCAGCTGTGTCCTTTATCTGTATAAATAACTGCTATTTAATAAATGTTGCTCCATTTTGAGAATGTGCAAAAATTGAGATGTTCTGGCTTTCCAACTCAAAGAACATCTGTTTGGAATGTTCTGTGAGCAAAACTTTCCTTTAGTTTGGGACTGAAACAAAGACTTTTTCATGCTGCTTCAGCAGTGTTTCCCCGCCCTTTATATATAGCAGCCTTCAATGAGAGAAAGAAGCTCCATGCTTAGCCTCTTTAGAAGCGATACTAAAACTAACCTGCAGAAAGCAAGTTAAGCCACCGGCAAAATGGCCTATCCATTTGCAGCGTCTTTTCTGTTCTCAGTCTTCCCTCTGTTTGCTCCAGATCGTATCACAGGATGATCCGGATCAGCTGCCAGACCCTTTCAATGACATCTCAATTGGAGGATGGGAAATCACTGATGAGCCTCTTGGCCGTTTATCAGTGTGGGCGGTTTCTTTGCAAGGAAGGGTACGTGCACATTCCATACATTTTCTAATATAAATTACTACTGAAAAGGAGTTACGTACTTTTAAAGCAAGGCATGTTTGTTATGGTAAGGAACTACACTGCTTGTGCAGGCAGGCCTGCTCCTTACTAAAATTCTCTAGGATCGAGAGATTTGAGGTTACTGATTGAGTCTCCAGACTTGGCAATACGCAATCCAACTGTGGAATGTTTTGAATTTATTCTCCTTTGAAAACTATACATCTTTCTTTTGTTGTTTCTTTTGTTGTTGTTTTGTTTCTGGTTTTAGGCCCACTGTAATGCTTCTCATCTTCTGCTCAGTACTGTAGAGATAGCTTCTTGCTTTCCTTCCTTTATTCTTAGAGCATCATCTGAGTAGCCTTCCTTTGTCTCTAGACAATTTCTAACTTGTGGTCTCACAAGAAAGAATGTAGTAATTGTAACAGGTAGCCTGAGACTGCACTTGCACTTGACACTGCCTGGGGAGGCAAGCAATCTTGGTTAAATTGTTTAAAATGAAATTCCCTGTGCCTCAGGCTTCCCTGTAATAATTGACTCGCATCCCACTCTGCAGGCTTACTTGACTGACATTATAAAATGCTTTCATTTCTCAAAGTAAAAGTCTCTAGAGGAAGAATGTATTTCTAAAACTGATGATTTAGCATGCCACAGTCATCTTTTGGAGCACTTGTATGATCACCACAGGATGCTTTCTTTGACCTTCCTGTTTTGACTGGAGTGAAAAAAATCATGCAGGCAGTCGGAGCATGACTGGTAGATAGCCAGGATGTCACTGCAGGCTGCGCAGAGAATGGAATTTTTACCCATGTTGTGGCAAGCTCTGTTCAGTGAAAGCGAGGTTGGGCTCTCAACTAACAGGAACATTTTCTTGTTTGTTTTCTTGTTTATTTGTTCATTCTTGTTTTGTATTTTTTTTTGTTTGTTTTTAACATGCCTTGAGATATAACAAAGTGTTTTGTTTTGCTTTTAATGTTGAAATATACACAGGACTTGTAGCAACAGGTCACGTGCCCAATCCAGATTCAAGTCCATGATAAAAGCTAATCTGTAAAAACACCTCCTCCCTTAGTACATAAGGAAATAGTCTTCAACAGCATAATTGACATCAAAAAATACTTCTAACAGCCAGTGCAAACACTGCATTAAAAAAAAACAAACAACTGTTGTCAAAGGAGGACTGTTCTTTCATCAGGATGTCATCGTGCTTCTCTGAATAGATTCATTGTTGTAGTAGTATTTTGTAAGTTTTGTGTTTTGTTTTTTTTTTTTTTTTAATTTGCGTAGGTGTGGTACAGAGAAAACGTTTGCCATCACAATCCAGAAGGTTCCATGTGGTCCTTAATCACCACTCCTGGTGAAGTTGTACAGATCAGCTGTGGACCGTATGACCTCCTCTGGGCAACTCTTTGGGAAGGGCAAGCTATTGTGAGAGAAGGAATTGATAGGAATAACCCTCAAGGTGAAGTGTTGTTACATTTAGCATGAAACCTCTTTGATTTTTGAAATGTTGCATAAGGAAATAACCTACAATGGCTTCTGGGCTTTGTTTCTTGCAGGAATTTCCTGGAGTATTGTGGAGTCCCCAAGCTCTGAAAATGGGATTATGCACGTCTCTGTGGGAGTTGATGTGGTGTGGTGCGTTACAAAAGATCGGAAGGTAAGAGGTGTTATGCTCTGGTTCTGTTTTTTTCTCCCTTTTTTAATCTGCTTTTCTGAAATGGGCATGTAACTTTTGTAGGAAATGTCAATGATTTGGACTCCCTATACGCATGGTTTGGGCAATTCCAGTCCCCATGTTGTTACGGGAATATGCTGTGGTTTATGATATATATGTACGTACTTGCGTGCAACTTCAATATTCCCTTCAATGAATCCCTTCATATTGAATCCAAAAACAGGGATTAATTCTGTTTGGGAAGAAAATGTGTTTGATTTCAAACACTAAGACATTGTAACAGTTCAAGATTCTTACTTTGACATCACAGACAATTTAAGAATAAGATGGATAATATGAATGAGATTCCTCATAGGCTGTGTGGCTTATGGGCTTCTTTACACGAGGAAGTGATTCAAATCAAGGTAGTTACATCATTGGTGTAACTCTCTCCCTTTGGGCATTTATTTTGGGATAAGCGTATGTGTTTTAAGTAATTCAAACATTTTAAGCTGTTTTAAGTAATTGAGTTACACTGGTTTAATGAGTTACTGCTTGTCAGCTGAGCCATGGCAACTGACTGTCCAGCCTGCTCCATCTGCCCCTAAAACCACTATAATAAATGTAAATAAGCTAGTAGGTTTTCCTTCAGGTTTGTCAAAGGTAGTCAAGTACACAGTCTGTTACATGTTTCAACCAACAAGTTCTAAAGTAGCTACTTGTCATTATAAGACCATATCCTAAATATAGATGCATAACTGGAAGATTTTCCAGGTACCCAGCCCACAGACACTTTCTCATTGGTAAAAACTAATCTAAGACAATTTAAAGAGCAGTACCAGTTAAAAAAAATCCCTTTGTCAGTTCCCTCTGTCAGCTCAGCTTCACAGCAACACTGTTTGGAAGTTGATTTAGAGTCACCAAAAATAGCCTACAGTTGACATGTAATAGCAAATATTTTCCCAATGGCTGAGAAACTAACTCTGTCACAGAAAGTCATAGCATGATGTGTCCTTGTGGGCTCTTCAGGCTTTAGTTGGTCATAAAGACACATTGTCTGGTTACTATTAAAAGAATTATTTTATCTTCACCTGATTAAAACAAATGAACATGGAGGTAAGTGACTTCTCAAGGCAATGCCATAGTCAGTATTGGAGATTAAGACTAATCCACTAAAGAAATTAAATTCCAGCTGTCTACCTGCTTATACAGAAGATGCAAACTACAGACTTTTGTTGTTGTAGGTATGGTTTAGAAGAGGTGTGAATTCACATAATCCTTGTGGAACAAGCTGGATTGAAATGGTTGGAGACATGATGATGGTAAACGTAGGCTTAAATAATCAGGTAAGACACCTGTATACCAGTTGTGAGGTTATTTGTGTTCCTGTTTGTGCAGATAGTATTCACGTGTGAACTGTCAGCAGTGCCGATATGGACAGCTGAGCAAGAGATCCATGTGCTTGAACTGCTAGGAAAGAAGGCATGGCTGCATTCCTCACCAGAATACAACAGTCAGCCTGTCTCTCATGTCAGACATTCAGGTTCAGGCTTCTCTTGATGGTACTGAATTTCATATTGCATCTACAGTATCAGCAGTAAAGAAAAACAGAAAGGGAAAATGCTGAGTCTGTCGGGTTTTTGCACTGAATTTTCCACCACTGCACCTTTTTGTACATGCTCTTTTCCTGCATTCCATGCCATTTCCTTCACCAAGCCCTTTCCTTCCCTAGGTCTGGGGAATTGGCTGTGATGACAGAGCAATCTACTTTCGCCAAGGTGTCACACCAAGTGAGCTCAGTGGGAAGACGTGGAAAGCAATTGTATGCGGCCGAGAGAGTGACAGATCTCAGACTGGGAGCTCAACAAGTCTGCTCAGGTGCGCAGTAAAATACCTGCTTGAGACTCTATATGCCAGGAGTTTCAGTGCTAGGACATACTTCTGTACATTCTGTATGTTCAAGTGGTACAGACAGGGAAGAGCAGGGAAGGCATCTCTAACCATTAGGCATGCCAAAAAGGCATTTGCTTTTTTGCCATTGAAATTAACAATAAGCAGCAGTTGCTGCAGTCAGAAGCTGACGCTCCTACTTTGGAATTCATTGCATGCTTCCAGCACTGTGTGTTCTTCTGGCCTTTATTATCCCTATCTGGAGCTGGTCTCTAAAAAGATTAAATGTTACCTGTGAAGTAACATGAAGGAGTGTCAGCTTCACTTAGTGATTATCCTTCTCCAGTGCATCACTGTACGTTTCTTTCCTGAGAGATTAGACCAGTAACTCCCTGCTGACTGCTTGCTGTTGGCTGTGCAAGACATGACAATGCAGCCGGCATGCTACAGAAGCTACTTAAGTCAGAGTGCTCTGAGTAGAAGACCTCTTTAGCTAAGACAAAAAGCACAAAGTTAATAATGGGCTTAAAAAAAAAATCTATTATTTCATATCCCAAAAATGGGATGTTGCTTCAGTGTTTTTCTTGGAGTTGTTGATAGCCAACACCCGTAATTTTTTACAAAGATCAATGAGATCTCCTCTTAGATCCATGTTGGACTCTTTTTTCTTAATGATAGATTTTGACCTTTAAAAGGAAGTGTGCTGTTTCTCTCCTAAAGCTGCAACACTCCGACAATTTCTGCCTGTCTGTGGTCTCAGGCCTGTGTTAATTTATAATGTTTTGAATTATAGTTAATGAATTATCTATTTGTCCTTCAGTGCTGGCTGTTTCTTTACTGATGATATTCAGAACCAAACAAACGCGGTCATTCCTGGTGATGCAGACACTTCCTCTGACACAGATCTTCCAAGCATCCCCACGTACCTTGCCAACACTCCCCCGATGGGAGCTGCAGCCAGTGGCAGTGGTAGCAGTGCAGGCAATCAGACAGCAGAAATATGTGCAAATTTGACTGTGGATCCTCTGGACTCTGATCAAGGAGAAGCCAATGTTGCTTCAACTGGTAATAAGAAATCTAATCTTGAAAGCCTTAAGTCTACAAACCCAAATCCTTCTGCAGAACTGCAGTGGACAAACATTGACTTAAAGGAGGCTCAGAAGCATCCAGTCCTCTCTGTCAACACCTTTGCAGAAACGTCCAGCCTGTCTTCCCTTGGCATGTTCTCGGTGGGAGCTGAGGAGCAGTACGGAGCTGATGAGCACCCGCTGTGGGCCTGGGTGTCTGGGGGAGGCTGCCTTGTGGATTTGCACAGCCCACTGAAATGGTTCACTGTCTCCTCAGGTACTTCCAATTTCAATTAGTCAGTATTCTTAAAAAAAAATAATGTGTTTGGTTTTTGTTTTAAACAAAACCTTGGCACAAAACTTCTGATTACTGCTCTTCCTGAAGTTCGTTGTTACGCTCCGTGTCTGAGCATAGTGCTGCATGTATTTAACTGTAAAGCACTTTGGGATTGAGATATGTAAGTGTAAAGGTGATAAAGGAGTTTCTGTAAGAATTTTATAAAATAATCAGTGTGCTGGAACTGCATCTTTTTTTTTTTTTTAATGGCACTGAAACTGCAACTTCAGGCTAAACCCCTAATACCACTGAACAGTAAGTAGAAGCAGTGAAAAAGGCTCTCTTAAGAGATGCCGATGCCACAAATACCACCTTGCCACTACCATTCCTGCTGAGGTAAGGGTAAGACTGAAGTTACTGAGGGGCATTGTGGATGTGAGCCCCAATGATACCTGGATGAGGCTGGAATTTACATTTTTGAAAGACAGTGGAGTATAACCATATTTTAAAAATAGACCATGAGCTGTGGCGTCCAGGTACTTACTAACAGCATAACTCTTAATGCATTGTATTATCTAATTATCTTGCAGTTCAGTGCTAAGTCCCATTTGTATAAAGTTACAGCATTGAAAGATTCAATATAATCATATAGCAGTTCCATTCCGATGCATTATTTACAATGCTTGGCTTTAATACACTGATTTCAAAGCGTTAATTAGCAAATTTTGTTAGACTGGGTTGATTCGGTCCAGCGTTTAAAGCAGTATCATGATACTTTTTTCACAGGACTGTATTTCAAAGCTCACTGATAGGTGTTGGTTTTGCTTCTGTTGTAGGTTTGTCGTCCTCCGTGCAGTCTCTTTCTCTGTCTATCACTCCAGCACAGACAGCAGCATGGCGAAAGCAAATTTTTCAGCAGCTCAGTGAAAGGACAAAGCGGGAGCTGGAGAATTTCAGGCACTATGAACAGGCTGTTGAGCAGGTAAGCAACGAGGATACCTACCTCTGTCTTGTGAGCACGTAGATCTGTCAGTACTAGGCATCAGTGGTACAGTTCTGATGTACTCATCTGAACTTAGCTGTTAGCTTTTTATTCTCTTCCTTATTTCTGTCTGTGACAGCTTTCTTGGAGTATCACTGTCTGGGCACCCTGTGGGAAACTGGTGGCTTATTAAACATGGACTAGCAATCTTCATCTAAAAACGTTAGCTGATAGTTTTGTGTAGGAGCAACTGAAGCATTGGTCAGCTGTTATTTCATATATTGAAACCTCAAATTCAGAGAAACATTTGCAACAGTGGAATATTGTAAGAATTATTCCACTACAGGATGAGGCTCCTTAATTGAAACGGTGACTCACATAGGTGAACTTTTCTTCTCTGTGAGCCTTAGGTGATCAACATAACTTGCATAAATTAATCAGTGGTGATAATATCAGTAACAGCATTTAAATATCAGCTCCTGGTCTCTTTTCAGATTCATTCATGGTTTTGGTCCCTTCATGGATAATTACCAAATGCCAATTGCCAAGTCTGCAATTCATTTAATTAAAAACACTTGGAGTCCAGGGCTTTAGTTCAGTTTATGTGGAGGGAGTTCAGTTTAAGGATTATGTCAAAATCTTTCAAAATTGGAACAGAAATTGTGTTAAAGAAGTAGTATCTGTGTGCTATTGCATTCTTTGCAGAAGTCAAATGTTAACACTGATGTACACATGGCATTCCAGTGCCTTTCTATCCAGTTTTGTCAGTTTTCATTTTGTCTTCAGCTTTCTGAATACTGGTGTACTCTGTGTCAGAAGTAACTGATATGATACAGACCTTACAGACCTACAGCAGAGATTTCTTGTGGTCACAAGAAATAATGCTTGGAAGAAAGAAGAGTCATGCGGTTTCCTTACTTTTGAAAATTTGTGTTTGCATTGCAGTCAGTTTGGGTTAAAACTGGGATGTTGCAATGGTGGAGAAATTGGAAGCCTCATAAATGGATGGATGTGCGAGTGGCACTTGAGCAGTTCACTGGGAGTGACGGAATGCGCGACAGCATCCTGTTCATCTATTACATGTATCATGAGGAGAAAAAGGTGTGTCCAGCTCAAGACCCCCAACAGTGTTGTGTATGGCAAAAGACAACCTATGAATGAGAAAAAGATTTTTAGGGAAGGCAAATTATGATAAGCTGTTGTTTTGGGAACCAATTCAAATGTAGCCCAGGGTAATAGTGAATTGCAGGCTTTTCTAAGCTTTGTTAATGCTCTTTCAGAAATGCCCACTCAGCAAGCATCCACATTGCTTAAACCATCAGCTTTGCACTAATTAGGATCGCCTTTGGAAGTTCAAAACATTCCTGGCTATGAAGAAAGAACCAAGCTTAGCTGGCTAGGGTCTGCACAAATAGGGTTGATGCATACCGGCAACATGAACCAGAGGTTGTGCAGGCCTGGATACTGGGCCCCACGTAAGGAACAACATTCCTTCTGCACCAAGAATTGATTCTTTGCTACCCTTGGCAGCAATGCCTTGTTCATAGTCTTGAAGTGCAAAAATGCTAGCACTGAGGAAGGTATATCTTGAGTTCACCTTAGTCTCTTTTTTTTTTTTCTCTTGTCTTAGTATATTCATGTGTTCCTGAATGAAGTCACCATTATAGTCGATGTTCTGAACGAAGCCAAACACACCTTTGCCCTGTATACACCTGAAAGGACGAAGCAGCGATGGCCAATCCGCCTAGCAGCCACAACAGAACAAGAAATGAATGACTGGGTAATTCAGTGAAATTTTCATTTCAAGCTGGCTATTTTTGAAATAAAACATAAAAGCTAGTCTCTGAAATCTGAGCATTACATTTACAGTATCTAGGCTCCTTAGCTATCTTCACAAATTAAGCATTTTAGAAGTCCTCTTCAAGCTCCGTCAGGGGCACCCAAGGCTTACTGTCTCCTCTAGAGTTTGCACTGGTTCTGAAGCCACAGTTATCCAGAGTAAAACCAACATTGCTTTTCCTTCCCTTCCTACCTCTGGATATAGATTACGCTACGAATGAGTTAGGAATTGAATTCAATGAGTCTATTCCTCTGCATTGGTAGAACTGTTGTCACTGTTGTAGAGAATCTTACTTATAGGCAGGCCTGTGTACACACACCAAAGCAAAGGAAAACCTGAAAGACACCTCATAAAGGTCAAATGCTACAAACCACATTAATTCCTGTTATTCTGTTAAGAACTTCTAAAACACTGAATTCCAGTGCCTTTGAGAAAAAAATGCTAATTCACTTTGCTGACTTGTAAGAACCTGCAAAGCTAAAATTTCATTTTGTAGTACTGGAGCATCAATATGGAAGTTTTTGTTCTCGCTGTAAAAGTAACCTTCTGGCTCTCTGCTTCTTGTTTTTTAGCTGTCTTTGCTGAACATGTCCTGTTGTGAAAGCAGACGGATTCAAGGCCCCCCTTCTCATCATGCCATTTGGTCAGTTACTTGTAAAGGAGACATCTTCGTTAGCGAGCCAAGTCCTGAACTGGAGGCAGGACCACACCTGATGCCATGTGATCAAATGTAAGGGGTTTCAGAAGCTGTTCTTTCTGCATGGGGTGCTTTCCAGCAGAGATTGTCTTTCATGTCAAGTTGGTGATGTCGATGGGCTGTTGGAATGTGTAGCACACTGCAGATGTCTGCCAATCACAAGGTTAATGGCTGCCTTCATGCTTATGAGTGCATTTGAAGAAATTCACCAAATTGTATTTTAGTTCTCAGATGATGGAGCTATTCTTGTGATTTCAAAAATTTGGGTTGAGATCCCATCACAAATGACTTGAAAATTTTGCATCTTAAGGATTGCATCCTCAATGTAGTAACGATCTAAATCAAGAGATGGCCTACACTAAAAGTAAACCTAGTCACTGTAACTGTAATGTAATTTGAGCTTTCAGTTTTATCTGAGTCAGGAAATCTGACAGTCTCATTTCTCTACTGTCATTTCAGTCCAGGAATATCTCCTTTGGAGTTTCTATTACAACTGTGACAATGTAGTACTGCAAGTTCTGCAAGCACAAGCTCAGAACTGGGGGGTCAGAGGCCAATCTTCAATTTTTAAAACTACCTCCAGTTTCTTTGAATAATAACACTTCAGAAATACTTTGGTCCTTTTTCTTCAGGGTAGAGCACCTTCAGCATCTGGAAAATCACAAACTGATGTTCTCTTACATCTTAGTTTAGGGGATCTGTGATTGAAGCCATCTCCTACCATTCGCATAACTAAAACACTCCTCTGCAATTTCTTTACTTTCCCCATTCTTCCCCAGAAAAGTTCCATGGCCAACTGGCTACATAAAGCCCCAGGAAAGGATTAACCTTCCAAGATTAGAAGTATTGGGAGAATTACATCCCTTCTCTTTTTTCCAATCTCCATAGCAGATATATATGAGATTTGTTTTTTTGTCAGATAAAGGTGATTCCTGCCTTTAAGAAAAATGAGGACCAAGTTAAAGCTCAGGCAGCTGATGGCTGCTAAGACATACAGATTCTAACAAGATCATCCTAACTAGTTCAAAAAAGAAATCAAAACATAAGCCATAAAATAAAAGGAAAGCAGAATACTTCAAAGCCTGAAAATTCCCAGTGAAGGCAGACAGGTTCCTTCCAGCAACCTTTCCAGTTCAGAGGAAATGCTTTCAACTGTCAGCTGCCTTCACTAATTGAATGAACAGAGGTTGAGCAAACAAGTAAAGTTGCCTTTCCTTAGGATGACAGAGTTGTAGGGGGCAGGGGAAGCAGAGATTCCTGGCGGATATAGTATGTAGGATGGGGTAAATGTAGAATTCTGTCCCTTTTCTGGCAGGTTTTGGCGTCAAGTTGGAGGGCATCTTCGACTGATAGAGTGCAATAACCAAGGCATAGTGTGGGGCATAGGATATGATCACACAGCTTGGGTTTATACTGGTGGATATGGAGGTGGCTTCATCCAAGGTAGGGATGACTGTTCTGTGGTGTACGTTTCTTCCTCATCTTCGCAACTGGGTCAGCTATTCAAGTGATTTCAGCTGTCCTTCCTTTAGCCTTTGTCATATGCAGGGGTGTACAGTGAACAGGCCCCACATCAGGAAGGACTTGGTATTGCAGTCTTATACAATATTGTTATGGCTATAATAATATTGTAATATCTTGTAATATAATATCTTGTAATATAATATCTTCCAATATTATTGTGGCTAATAGAATTTAAAATGTAGTGTCTGGAACGTTTAGCTTCAGTGTAATCCAAAAGATTTATTTCTCCCAGGACTGGCCAGTAGTGCTGATAACATCTATACGCAGTCAGATGTGAAATGTGTTTACATCTATGAGAACCAGCGGTGGAACCCAGTCACTGGATACAGCAGCAGGTTATTTACTTGATTTGTGTTTATTGAGCGTACTTTTTTACTGATTTCAAATGAAGCATCAAGGGGGTTGTTCTAGCTTTTCAAAATAATTACTACAGATATTCTGTCTTCAGTCTCCTCCAACATTTATGGTTAACCTGAGATGGAAGGTACAGAATTTTTGAATTTCCTAGATTTATAAATATCCATTCAAAATCCATTTGTAGTAAAACACTACAGATTTGTGCTTTGTGAGTGCACAAAGAGTGCCTGCTTGCAATACCTTTAGTTATTAAGGCCACAGAGTGAAAGTTCTTATTAGGTTACATATATGTTCATGTATATTTTGGTCTAAATACATTGTATATTTGAATACTTGAATAATATATTTAAATGGAAGTACTGAAAAGCATTTACATATATGGGTGTCTATGCCACAGACACCCAGGATTCACCTTGGAATTTTTAGTAGTGAGGAATATCACTCTAGAGAAAAATATTTTTATGGTTGTCAGGTTTGGTGTGACTGGAAGCAAAAAAAGATTCTTTCCCACTGTGCTCCTCACTTACATAATATTTCTATATACAGAGTTTAATGACAGAAAACTGTTTCATTTATGAAAACAGGAACTGCTAGAAATATTTTTTTTCTCTCTCCCCTTTTGAATGATGTTATTGTAAATGACCTTGCATTCCTTGTGCACTGTCTCACTGCAGAGGCCTACCCACGGACAGATACATGTGGAGCGATGCCTCTGGCCTGCAGGAATGTACAAAAGTCAATACCAAGCCTCCTTCACCACAGTGGACTTGGGTAAAGTTTGTTTTAAAAGTCTTTTTACTACTAAAGTAAGGCTAAATAGGATACAAAACTTGCGATCAAGTGACCTATTTTTTTTTGTGAGTTTGTCATTACATTTAACCTTTGTTTCCCTATTTATAATAATCTTCCATAGTCAAAAGAACATTAAGCATTGAGGGGGTTTTGTTGTTTAGTGGGACTTAGACTTCTCTTCAGATTGCTTTGTCTTCAGCTGAATTAAAAAGACTTGGGAACCTCTGCATGAATTTATACTGCAAGTATTAGAAGGTTTTTAGCAAGTCATTGCACTCCAAAAAGTAGAAAGGGAAATACTGAAAGAGATTATTTTTATGATACAGTAGGTATTGATTGTGCTTCTTATTGTCTCCTTCTGACAATAGGTATCCGACTGGTATATTGATTTTAGTACTTCAGGTGGAACAGATCGGGAAGGCTGGCAGTATGCAGCAGACTTTCCAGCGTAAGGAGATACCTTTTTCTGCCTAAAATCCTAGCAGGCATTTTTAAGTTCTTGTTTCCTCATTTGCTGTTTTGCACATAAACCATACTTTGAAAGGGGCAAGTGTGCCTTGATTTCTCTCATGGTACGGAGACACTAACACTGAAATGTGCTGGGGAGGTAGGGCAGCAAGGTGAAGGTCACCTTACCAAACAGAAGTTCCAAGTGTTTTAAAGTTAGCAGATGCGTCTGGTGGGCAGATACATAGACGATGCTCTCAGGCTGTCACTGAAATTGGAGATGCTCTGATATCCTCGTGAACACATTTTGTTTTGGTAGGTCCTACCATGGCCACAAGACAATGAAAGACTTCGTCCGACGGAGGCGCTGGGCAAGGTGAGGAACTAAGATAGAAACACAAGTTTTGATGCTAGCTGCTCCCTTATCATCTCCTTTACTTGAGGGGAAAGGTTGTCACACAATCAACAAAAGAAGTAATAAAGAAACATGCAATAACTAACCCACATCCAGGATAAGCTCAGGATCTTTAGCACTCTGGCTCTATATGAAGCCTTTACAGTAGATAACTTAATTGATTTTGTGGGACCTGTAGACAAAATCAGCTGGTGATTCTCTGTATCTATTTTTCCTTACAGTAAATAATCAAGGAACAATAAAGTCTAGGTATATTAGTACATACTAGTTCACTTGTAACAGCTGAACTATGTCATCTCTATTAGTTACTTTAACATATGAATTCCACATACCATGCACTAGGCCACAGATAATCCCAGCCCCATTTAAATCAAAGTATACTGTATTCAGACGGGTCCAGGAAAATAGCAAACTGCCATTATATTCCATTAAGCAGTGGAAATCTATATTTACTGTTTTTCCAGCTTTTCTATGCTCTTCGTACTAGGCTATGAAATATGCTAAGAAATTGCCGTGAATTTACAGTTATGCATTCTTCTTTTTGATACTGAGGCTGCAAAGCTAGTATTTTGGCCTTTGTATATTATCTTCTAACTAAGGTCCTGAATCAAAATGTTGTTGTTCCAGGATGTGCAACCAACCAAATAACATCCATTTGATCAAAATAAGCAACTTCAGAAATACCCTTAAACCTAAACATTTCCTCCTACTTTAACTATCAATTTAAAATTGCAACCAGGTAAGGAACAGCTCAGGGCTGGATCTTATTTTTCAGAATTGGGAACAGAGGAATGCCCCAAGTTTTTTAGGACATTCTTTATAAACAGAAATAGCTGCTGTGATGGTAAAATCTCATGTAGTTTCCCCAAGACAGCTCTTAACTCAAAACTGCCTTTTCTCTGCTTACCTCAGGATACTACATTTGCTTTTTAACAGTTGCCACCAAAAAACAAATTGTAAAGTGATTCCCTTACCCAAGGCAGAGGAAGGAATGAATTGGGTGTGAAGTACAATGGGATTCCTAGCTGGGGTCAAACAACCATGATTCAGCTATTGCTCACTGAGTTTTAGAGAGTTAGGAAGCAGAGCTTAGGAAGAGAGTTAGAAGCTGCCAACACCTTCTTTGGTGGCCTTGATTTTATTATTTTTTTTTCTAAACAACAACAAAAAACAACTTGTGAAATCAGAACAGATGTAAACTGTCAGAATTCAAAACGTGATGCAAAATATGATTGTTGAAAACCCTTTCAAATTAAAAAATAAATAAATAAAAGCTAATTCTTACTGTACCTATTTAATGAAGACTTCAGGATTGTTCAAACTAAAGTCACCAATGGATCAGGGAACAAGTTCAGTTATAGAAGGTACATACTTCTGATGGGTATGTTTTTTTTTGCTTCAGAAAATGTAAGATAGTCACCAGCGGGCCATGGCTGGAAGTGCCTCCTGTTACCCTGTGGGACATCTCCATAATTCCCAGTTCAGATGCGGTTGATGAAGAATCAGTAGCACTGTGGGCAATCAGTGACAAAGGAGACGTGCTCTGCAGACTTGGAGTGACACAGCAAAACCCAGCTGTAAGGCTCCTTGTTTATTTTTACCACCTTATTAATGTATTTAATGTAATTATGCAAGTACATACACAGAGTCATGCAGTGCCTTCTGTCAAAGTACCTTATTTTTTTCCTTTTCGTGTCCCAGATTTTAAAGTCTTTGTCCATCAACTGTGACAGTTTTCTGCCCACATTTTTTTAAAATATTCTTTCTCTTGCATAATCTGCTTAAGCTTGTGTTAACATTATTTGCAGTAGCCTCCCATCCCTGTGTGATCTTTGAAGGTCCCTTCTAATTGAACGACTCTATTCTAATCTATCTCCTGTGTATCTCCTCATGAAGTACTTTACTTCCACTTTCTGCACTGATAGCTTAGTTCCATTTTTTTCCCCCCATTGTCCCTAACCTAATGCCCTCTGATAGCAATAGGAGTTTGTCCATGGACTTTTCAGAGCCTGGAACTGACTTTGCTTATTTCAAAGGCAGGTGGGCCTGGATGTACCTACTGACTTTTCCTTGAACTGGGACAGAAATAATGAGTACATGTCTAGTAAGGTACACAGAAAGGAACAAATAGTTTGAGTAGCTTCATTAGCAATCTTTCCTAATAAAATACATGTGCTAAAACAACAAATTAGGGTTGATATTCACTAATTTTAAGCCATATTTACAATTGGAAAGAAAATATACTTTCAGTGGAATTTGGAGAAAAACTGCAAGATGAAAATTTATAGGGATGATTTTTTTCTTCTTCCTACTCAGTCTGCTACAATAGCACAGGTCCGTATGGCAAGTGCAACAGCAAGAAATGGAATTCTGTGTCTGGAATCTGAAGCCAGACAGACTTCAGTCTGTTGATTTTTGTGAGATTATTGCTCTATATAATCAAAAAAGGTATTATTTGAAAAAAGAAGGAGAGAAGAAAGAGAAAGAAAGAGAACAGATCTCTATCCCAACCATTCAGAGACAGGCAGGTCCCTAAATTTCAGTGATTTCAAATGAAAAAGCTCTGGTATAGTCCAACATAGCTATTAATTTCAAAGAGTTAAATATCCAAGTATTTTTGAGGATCAGAGACCTTGTTTCTGTTCAGTCATCCTAACTTTTTATTTTTCAAAAAAGAATTATTACTCAGAGTCTTTTTTACTACCTAGGATTTTCCACATTTGGTAGCCATCAAAATAATTTTATCATGGTTTCCCATGGAGTTTTTAAACATTGCTTCACAATTTCTTCCACAATTTGTCAGGGAACATCCTGGCTTCATGTGGGAACAGATCAGCCCTTCATTTCCATCTCCATTGGAGCATTTTACCAGGTGTGGGCTGTTGCTAGAGATGGTTCTGCCTTCTACCGGGGCTCAGTGTCTCCAAAGAAACCTGCAGGTGAGTACTTGTACGATTTTTGGTTACAATCTTCCTCTTATACAGGATGGAAGCTCTACTACAGTGCCATGTCTAGAGAAGACAATTTTTAGTAGAGGTCTTTACAAAATAGGGGATATGAATAATCAGCATCATGTTAATTAGAGCAGTTAATTTGCTTTTCACTTGGGTGATTTAGAGAAAGTGTTCATCTCTAAAAACAAGCTAGCAAAAATCCATCACGTGTAATGTCATTTGCAGTTTTCCTGCACAGGTATGCATTTCCACTGCAGATACTTCCCAGAATTCTCACACATAGTCCTGTTTTCTCAGTGTTTTACTCAAGTATTTCTGACTTTTAGGTGACTGTTGGTACCATATTCCTTCACCTCAAAAACAAAAATTAAAACAAGTCTCAGTAGGACGAACATCTGTGTTTGTGTTGGATAAGAACGGTAAGGATTTTTTAAAAATTATTTATCATTGGTAGAAAAACTACATCAGTATTTATTAGGTTGATTTAAAAAGGAGAGTCTAAGTCAAACCTTCTGCTTGCACTGCTGCTCTTAGAGAATACTCTTTTGTATTCAAAGAGACATGTAGTGCCATAGGTAACAACAATGCATCACCTATACTGTTTTTGCAAGAAAAAAAAAAAGTACCAGGTGAATCTCAAAGAGAATTCCGTGGAAGGATTTTGTGTCTGAAACCCTAGAATGTACAAAACTGAAGAATATCTTCCTGTTGAGAAAGCTAGAAATAGCACCACCATCGCAAGAAAAATTGTGAAGGATTGTTTTGTGAAAGAAACAAACCTTTAACACCAGTCTCCTTCAGCTATCTTGACCTTATGTTTTACTTCTCTAATGCATAGTTCTTTATATAAATATTTTTTCCTCAAGAAATTTTTCAAAACAGTGTAGCTGCTGTTTTCCAGAAAGTTTCCACAAAACATAGAAAGTATTAACTACTGATTTCTTATGTTGTTTACTAGCACTTTATGCAGAGCTGTAACCAGGACTATTTATTTTATAGGCAACCTTTGGTACCGGCAAGGTATCACACCAAGCTACCCTCAAGGATCTACTTGGGATTATGTATCAAATAATATCCGCAAAATGTCTGTAGGGCCCCTGGACCAGGTGTGTATTAAGTTTCCTGGTATCTTATTAGTTTACTAAAAATTACACTTAACATTTTTTTGTAATTATTTTTTTTCAGGATGTTTTTTTTGTTTAGCTTTATTTATTCCACAAGATGATGATCTAAGTGCTGCAATCCCACCAGCAGGACAAAAAATGAGACCAATGCAATAGTGATACAGACAGTCCTTTGCCTTAAAAAACCTTATTAATATATATATTTTAAAAAGTTATATATATATAATCTCTTTCCTGCCAAGTCTTACTATCTGGCAATGTTTTCACTACAACTCTGGTATCTAGTTAACTGTTTGGTTGCTATCTGACTAAATCAGAGCAGTTTTGGCCTACTCTAGAGTCAAGACTAGCCTGTTAATGCGAATCAGGATTTTCATGTCTGGGAAGGGCAGCATGAGGAATACATTTTACTGTCACTTTTTGCTTTCTTTGAGGTCTGGGTGATAGCTGACAAAGTGCAAGGAAGTCACAGTTTGAGCTGTGGGACAGTGTGCCACCGCACTGGCGTTCAGCCAATGGAGCCCAAAGGCCTCTCATGGGACTACGGAATTGGGGTAAGTGCTGGGGGACACCATGCTGCTTAAAGGCCGGTACCAAATGCCCATGGGCACTGAGCAGAAAGCAAAGCACTAGCCTGCTGAGCTGGCAAGCTTTCTAAAGCTTGCACACACCTGCAGGAAACTGACGTTTGTTCTCCAGTTTTAATTCCTTTTTGAAGTTAAATATAATGGCTTATGCAATTATTGCTGAGAAGTCATTTATTTGCATTTGATAAGTGTTCATTTTAAATAGGTCATTTAAAAGCTATAATGGAAAAATTAATAAAAGTAAGTAGCATTTTTTTAAAGTAGATTCCTTCCTCCTCTGCACATGATTATTTCTCCTGGTTGCTCCCTTTATTACCCTTAGTGTTCTCAGAAAGGCTATTTCAATGTTTTGGCCCGTTGCAGATGGGTGGAAAACCTGCAGTGGTTCTATAGGAGGCTGGGCAGTCCCCCAGGCCAGATGGGTGGGGCCTGTGGCCAGGCAGAAGGATGGCTTCCTTAGAGCTGGAGCTCATGAGGCAGCAACCACTAGCACCTCAGCACCCCAGGGGATGTGGGGGGACCCTGGCTGAGGTCTCCCAGCCCAGCTGTATGGGAGCCTCTCCCCAGGGCCTCCAAAGGGAAGGGGCAGCCCTCACCAGCACCACCTCTGCGCAGGCTCAGAGCCCCCCAGCCCAACCCAGAAGCAGGGGGAATACTCTGAGAGCCCTTCCTGACATCCATTCTAGGTGCTCTGCTCAAAAGAAACCGCAATGTGAATGGTGGGTGCTGCATGTGAATTTTAAACGATGAGGTGAATATGCACATTCCTTTTGGGGGAGTTACATATGCAATCACATTTTTGTTTAGTTTTATAAGGAGCCTTTTCTCTGACTGAGCCCAGAGCAGGATTATTTTCCATATGAATAAGCCATACAAAAGTAATAGTGTACATAAAGCATCACATTAAATGTTGTAATTACAGGGTGATGTTTCTTCTTTTATGTTTCTTTATCAATCTTCTGTAGGGTGGATGGGAACACATTACAGTCAGAGGAAATGCAACTGAAGCATCTAGGGTCGCTATGCAAGACACTTCTGAGGAAAACTCAGTATCAAAGGACTTGCAAGACAATGAAAGTAAAGGGAGAGCGGTACATTCCAAAACCCCTCTGATGGTCAGTGAAAGCCAAGACTTGGACAGAAGTGCAGTTAATTGTTAAGTTGCCACTGTCTATGTTTTGCAAACAAGCAGCAGTAATTTAAAAAGAAACTGAATGTCCATGTGAATGTCCATGACCCAAGAGAAAAACATGATCGTTTTGTGCTACTTATGTTTTACTGAACTGGAATTTACAGTGGGGTAATTTTAATACTGATTTCTTCAACTGTGTCATGTGTAAAATGTAACTTACTAGAACTAATAGTTTTGTCAAAACAGGCAAGCATTATAGCCACAATGTATTTCTGACCCTTTACCATAGCTGCTACAGAACTATACAAATGTGAATCTTTGCATATGACCATTACATCTATTTAATTTTTGTATTACAGTTCTCGTCCCTACATTTCTCATATTCATGTGTCTTCCATGCTACACTTCAGATTCATATTTGAGTAGAGATATCAATATAACCGAATTACAAGCATTTCCATGATTTGCACTGCAAACATCCATACATGCACCTAACTTTGTGCATGTGAGCCCTGTTTACATAAGCCTGTAGGTTTGGTCACGCTACTCCTGCTCACATCAGTAAAATTAAATTCTGTACAACTCAGCTTAGGATGCAGTTACCAGTAAAGGCCAATTTTTGCTATTTTGGCACTCAATATCTTAACAAAAAGAATCACTGGTTTCAGCAAGACTATATAGAGAGCATGGTCTCTCATTCAGTCTTGGTTACAGAGGCTAAGTCTCACGCTAGATTGTCGGGACAAACTGCAATAGATCATGTGTAGTCTCCATCTTAACTGGAACCCTAATCACTAAGGTATACAGATATATACCTACCTAATGATGTTGGAAGGAACCAGACACTTGAAGAATTAGACTGTGCACGAGATAATTGTAAATTATACATTCGTAACATAAAAGAGAAGAGGGGATCTTAAATAAGATTCTGGCTTCACAGGTAGGAATTCAAAACAACTGTGCTGGTACCAGTGGAATCTGTCACCATATACTTAGGCAGGTTTAGGAGGAGGCTCTACATTTTGATTTTAGTAAGCAACTGATTCATTCCTTCTTACAGCAAGAAACCATGTTTTTTTCCCCAGAAGAGCATTTTTCCTGTCTTTTACTTATCTTAGTTAGACTGTGATGTGCAATTATTGTTTGAAATCATTATTTGAAATCCAGTCTGTGGGAAGTGCTGAGAAAGCATTCTCTCCCAGTAGCTTCAGGAAGGCACCACCTTTTCTCCCCTGGCAGCAGTTTACAATCATTTTCCCTCTATGTGTGACTATATATGAAGTTATTTTTATATGATAAGCAGTGTGGTGTGGTCTCAGTACTGTATTTGTAGAAGTAAAGCTTATGTTTGCACGTATTTAAAGAATATATTTGATATTCTAATGCCAAGGAAAGCACTGTTTCGAAACCCAAATGTGAATGAAGACTGAAGATGCTTTACTGTTTAAAAAAAATCTGTTGATCTTTCCAATATGTGATTACAGATTTCTGTTTTATACATACATTGTGGAAATATCAAAAATAACATTTTGTGTTAATTACCATAAACAGGTTTTGCGTAACTTGCACAGTATCTTGTCCAAATAAATAACTTTATCATGTATTTTTAGAGAATTATTAGGATTGTATTTTCTCTGCAGCATATCAGAAAAGTTTTTTTTTCATTAATAGTCAGTGTCTACATGGCCAACTAGCTAATCGATTCCATACAATAAGCTCTATAATGTTCCTTTGCTTCTTTCCCTGCACTTTCAAGTTTCACCTACTTTACTGTAAAACACTGGCTTTAAGTGAACACAGGTAACTTATGTTTGAATATTAAGTATTTCCTTTTTGAAACTGTTAATTAGAAAATGGATTAATTTTAAAAGATAATACCATTGTTATGGCTAACTAAAATCAGGAAAAGTGACTTTAAAGCAATTTTGAAAAATAAAAGTAATTTATCAGAAAAATACGCCTTTTATGAAATCGCTTTTAACACATCCTCAGGAGTAGCACTTTGCAGCAAAGAACCCTTTGGGCACCTGCTGCTGCTGCGTTGAAGTGTGCTGGTGCTGTGCCTGGTGGTTCATCAGGGTGGCAGCACTGAGAGAAGGACTACTAGCCTCTGGTCTTTGGTACTGCAGCTGCAGCCAGGTACTGCGTGCCATTTGGGGACTGATATTTGAAATAATGCCTCTTTGTTTGCAGAAAGTCCTATCAGAAACACGCTGCCGCAAGCATTTGAACTCTGTACTTGTAACAGCACCAGGAAGCGGTGCTTGGAGTGATAGGCAATTCTTCCATCCACAGCACTGTTAAAATACTGGTTTTCCAACTCACTCGTTCCTTCCTCTGCCAAAGTAACCAAAGAGCACCTCAGCCAGCTGCTGTCCCACAGAAACATCTGAGAAGGCACTGAGGACCTGGAAAACGCTCACATCTCCTGTGTAATGCACAGCTCTGGTGGATCTAATGACTTTGAAAGAATCCCGTAAACGTAGCTCCAATTAGCAGCACGCAGCCGTTGCTCCCCTCACACCGCACAGGACTGAGGCCGGACAGGGCCTGGTGCACTCCTGCCAAAGCACCTCATGGCTGCTGCTGCTTGGCACAAACACCTGCTGCCCCGGGCACCTTGCCATCACTGGCCCTTCTCTGCCACCACAGCTCATATACCCCGGTCAGAACGATGCCCTCACGGCCACAGGAGGGTTTCACAGAACCTCCACTGGGCTGCGGTCATTGCACGAGCAAACTAGAACTGCGAGTCGCCAGGGCAGGGATGGGGTAACATTTCATTTTCAACACAGGCTATAACATCCAGTTCCCCCATCCCAGAAGGACAGAGGATTTTATAAGTTAATTCACCAGAAGGATGCTACGTGTATTTCAATATGTTTACATACTGCCTGATAGTTTGCTTCCCTTTCTGTAGAAGAGTAGAGAAGCACTGTGACAGCTGAGTGCTAGCAGCATGCTTCCCCAGTAGAGAAGATTTTGTTAAAAGAAAAATTTATGGTGAGAAATCACCAATTAAAGCCTAATGAAGCATCCCTTGCTGTAAAAGAAAGGGTATAAGAACCGAAAGAAAATGCCTTAGTGTTACTCATAGCTCCCATTACAATCAGACAACATATGTTAAGTGAATTACAGATAAGGAGCACCTGTTCTATGAAGTAAGATACAGCAGCACCATTACTGCAAGTCAAATCTGTAAGAGACAAGGTAATACTTTCACTAACACTTAAGTAGTAGGACGGGTAACCACAGACATCCTAAACATGCATGAAAACAGGTTGGAACCTAAGGAAATCCAAGCCAAGAAAGCAGGATCTAAATCATTTCACTGCCCCTAAGTAAGACAACCACACAGAGACAACATTAAGTTGTTCTACATCATATAGCTGTAGATGTCCATGGTGAAGAGTAATTCACATCCCTTACAAGCCTGTCTGTGAAATCTTTCAAAGAAAAGTTTGAAAATGAGAATTTTTCAGTGACAAAACATTTTCCAATGAGATGGGAAACAGATTAAAAAATATTTTTCCTGTTTGAAGAGCTCCTGCTTCATTTATTTTGTTTCATAACACCAGAATCTAGCACTAGTCCAGAAAGAATCCCAATCACATTACAATCTTCATCAACTAATAACTGGTAATTGGAAAGATCATTGCCTAGCTTAAGACTATACTAAAACATTTTTATACTTTTTGCAAAGATGACTGATTTGTCCATTATTTAATATTTGTATTACAACGGCAGCCAAAGGACACACTTAAGAAAATCTCCACATCCAAAAGCGTCTTCTGTATGCTTCAGAAACATAAGCCATAAAGTGTCTAAACAGTTTATGATCTAAGATAGCTTTGTAGTTGCTTAGAAGATATTTTAAAAGTCTATGCTTTGCAAGGTTTGAAATTATACTGTGCATTTTAAATACAGTAACACATCTGTGTTTTGGACCCAAATAAAGCAAGAGAGTTTTCCATCATCTTCAGTCATTGTCAGAGCTGATCCAAAGCACTCAAGATAAATACTCAGATTTGGTGGCCAATTTCACATATGTGCTACTTTGCTCGCCAATTTTGTCAAGTTTGCCATCAATGTTGATTTTCTTCAGTAACAAGATAGACAAGAACCAATTCACTGAATGGTTGGTGATCAGTGTTACAGCTAGGATTCTCAATAAATATGAGAGAACTCAGGTGACTCAGGCCTTAAAAATGAACTCACAGCCTTTACCAGGAGTATAAGCTCCAAAAATTCCTTATAGTTTAGGATAACTTTATATGCATCTATAGCTGTTAACGTTACCTGTTTGTCTTTTAATGGAAAAAAGGAGGATGGAGAGAATTTGAAATATTTTTTTACCTCCAGCTATGTACTTATATGTATTATCATGCAAGGAGGAAGAGGAATGAAGGTAGCAAGCTAACTGTAGGTATTTTTGCTGAAGCTGTAAGTCTATGTGGTATGTTTTTGCGGATGTTCCTCATGATCATCATCTACATACTGCTGTTGATAATGCTGGCACAGTTTGGACCCCCAGGCTCCCCCCATCCCTTCTGCAGCTGGGAAGTGTCCGTTGGACATATTGAGTATAATGGAGGTCAAGGATTTAATGTAATTTTTGGCCAGTGTGAGAGTCTCTATTTTGGAAAGTTTATTCTCAGCTCTCACATGAGGGATTACCTCCCGCAAGGCCTGGAATGCATTGTTGAGCTTGTGCATTCTCTGCCTCTCCCGCTCGTTGCTTTCCAGTCTCCTCAAATGTCTGTCTTTACTGCTCCAAGGGTGCTTGGCTCTGGCTGCAGTAATCTTGCTGCTCTCCTTACTTCTCTCATTCCTCCTTTCTTTGTGTCTCAAGCATTTCACCAGTTCTTTTTTTTTCATTGCTGACTCCTCTGAAAATGCTTCTTTATCAACAGTATTCTTTTGCTTCTTCCCTTTGGCTTTAGTCTTCATGTTTCAGTAGATGTACTGGTATTAAGCATCAATGTGCTGCAAAAACATGACACCAATATCTTTAATTGTTGAACAGTTCAACACCAAACAAGTGATCTGATGCAGGTTTGAGAAGTTCTGTACTGGAAGACCAGCACTGACTCAATTTAGCAACATGCATTTTAGAAGTTGTGGATGGTACTAGCCAAGATGAGCTATGCCAATGAATCAAGGAGAAAATCTTTTTTCAGAGAACAGATTCCCCCTTCAGCTGGAAGGGGTTACAGAGGGAGCAGAGGTCAAGTAAATGGAACCACTAAAACAAAGATGCAGCGAACACCACCTGGTGCCCTCACGGATGGAAAGGCAAGTGAAAAACAGACACCTTTCTACTTTCTTGTATATAGGCCTCAAAGTGGAGTGACCTATCCTCTCATTGCATGCAACATAAGCAAATGGTCTCCAGGCTCAGCCAGTCATTGGCCATTCATTTGTAGGTGTCTACTGGCATGCTTAAACTGAAGCCAAATCATTTTTTTCCAGCGTAAAAATGGATTTTAACCCTGCTCCTCTATTGAACTGACAGCACATTCAAATAGCACTGAAATCACTAGTAATCATTGTGCTGGAATCATCTTTGGATGGTAGAAGTGCTGGCCTCAGTCTCCTTTCAGCTATGCTGTTATCAGTGTTATCATATCTCTTTACATGAAAAGAGAGTTTAGACAGTTATGACACTTGAACAGAAAACACCGGTGATAAGTGTGTAAGTATAGCATGTCAAAGCAGGGTCTCCCTTAAGAGAAAACAGAACAGAAATGTAAACAAGTTGAGATTCTGCTTTTCAGATCTAAAGATCTCAACCAGAAAAAAAGCCTGTGGGAAGAGGGAGCCACAAATCAAACCATGCCAGGAGCACAACGATCAATTAGGTTTGATAACATATTGCCTCTATCTCAAATGCTTCTATTTTTTTCCTAGCTCCAGCTATCAAAAGTAATAAAACCACACAGTGCCTCATCATACGTATGCAGATTTCTGTGTGGAGCATTAGACAGAACCCTCAGGCTCTTATTTAAAGTAACTTCTCAAACTCCCGGCAATTGCTTTTAGTAGGAATAGGTTTGTACCGTGTTTATGAGCAGTCCACTAGAGGGAAACATGACCCACTAACTCCTGTGGCTCAAACTCCTAGCAGTAACATTTTCACCCACAGCTTCTCTGCATTCTGGGCCAGTCCACAACACCCACAAGCACAATGCCCACAGTTTCTTCACACACACAGCCTATTTCTCTTTCAGACAAGCAAAGAAGAGGAGAAAGCAGGCAGGCCAGGTACTAACTAAAGGAGGTGAGCATTTCTCAGCTAGAGATTTGTTTGTTTCTTGTTTACCCAAGCCCCTTCAAGGGTGTCTTTCACTCCTTGTTTACTCTCAGTCTCATCCTCCAGGTGCCAGCTGTAGCTGCTACAACAGTGCAAGCAGCAATTCCTTGCTGGTGGTCTTCCCAGCTCTCAGTTCTACTTTTTGATGCCATTATACAGGTCAGAAAATTTCTGGGTATTAATAACACAGAACAAAATAGTAAATTTTGAAGCAAGGGTGGACCCTAGATATAATGAGGGCTAGAGCAGTTCGATGTAGCATTAGCAGGATTCCTACTATACAGCCAAAGTAACATGCTATACTTGTGTGACTGACAGCTGCTGGGAAAGAGCATTTCCCTTTTTAACAACAAATAATGACGGGGCATAACTGCAGTTACTGTCCCAGTATGAGTGTAATAGAGTGCTATTTATTGTCCAATTTGTCCAAAAAGCCACAGCAATGTTCCTTCCTCTTGTGTTAGCAGGGAAGGTGATGACAGTGAAGTTTTCCCCTCCCCTAGGCTCAGATTTGGCCACGCTTGAAGACAGCAGTCTCACAGCAACCCTTCAATCAACGTTATTGTGACTATTTCCAAAAATTCTTCCCTCCACCTTCAACCAGTCCATGTAGTCACAGAAAGGTTTGGTCTTAAACAATGC